AGAAATTAATTGGCCAACTAATATGTATATATATAATTAGCCGGGCATGGTGGCGCATGCCTGTAGTCCCAGCTACTCGGGAGGCTGAGGCAGGAGGATTGCTTGAGCCCAGGAGTTTGAGGTTGCTGTGAGCTAGGCTGACGCCATGGCACTCACTCTAGCCTGGGCAACAAGCGAGACTCTGTCTCAAAAAAAAAAATAAATAAATAAATAAATAAAAAAAATAAAAAAAATAAGTCATTAAGAGAACACATACAGAAATATTCAAACTATACTAGTAAGTACACTATGCTTTGGGAAATACTTGAGAAGCAAAATTGGGAGTAAGGAAGTCCTGCCTAAGTTGCTTTTAGTTGGGCACGGTTCTCAAGTTCTATTTCCTAATCTCAAAAAGGGGACATTATAATATCTACGGGTGTTAGTTATTAGTCTTGTTGTGAGTGATTTAAGCGAAATTCTTCCTGGAAGACTCCCAGGGACCTTTGTCCAGGACTTCTGATCACCTCCGGCGGCGGGGGAAGGGCGGCAGCGCGAAGGCAGGAGCGGTGAACGTGATCATTGGAGAATGTGACCACTCCAAGCAAGGCACCTATGGCAGAGGCGGGGAAGCCCTCTGGAGACAAAGTCTGTGACTCTCCAGTCCTCTTCCACCTCTCCCTCTCTCCACCGCCGCCCTGGCCGCCCCAACAAGGAATTTATTTATTATTTTATTTTATTTTTTTATTTTAATTTAATTTTATTTATTTTATTTATTATTTATTTTTTATTTTATTTATTTTATTTTATTTTATTTTTTTATTTTATTTATTTTTGAGACAGAGTCTCACTTGTTGCCCAGGCTTAGTGAGTGCGGTGGCGTCAGCCTAGCTCACAGCAACCTCAAACTCCTGGGCTCAAGCAATCCTTCTGCCTCAGCCTCCAGAGTAGCTGGGACTACACGCATGCGCCACCATGCCCGGTTAATTTTAGATATATATATATTAGTTGGCCAATTAATTTCTTTCTATTTATAGTAGAGACGGGGTCTCGCTCTTGCTCAGGCTGGTTTCGAACCCAACAAGGAATTAGCACGGCCATCCAGGGCCTTTCCCCCACAGGAACCACCCACTCGGCCAGTTTTTCTCCCTGGGGGCAGCGAAAACTTCCGGGAGAAGAGCGGAGAAGTCAGGTGTTAGGCCTCAGCGAACTTCAGCTGGCTTCTGGGGCTCCGGGGAGGGAGGGCAAAGGAGGAAGGAGGGGCTTGCGGCTGGGGAGAGCCACAAGGCCCACCCCTGGCCGGAAACTGGGGGTGGAGAGGCCCCAGCCCAGTCCACACCAGTCATCCAGCTCTGGGCTGAGCCCGAGAGGCCGGCAAGCCCCACCCCATTTCTCTGGGCACCTCGTGGCCCAAGAGGGTTTGTTTACGAATCCAGCTACCTCCTCCCCCAGCCCGGCCCTCCGCCCGCCCCCAGGGTGGCCCCAGTTTCGTGGGAGGGGGAAACAGAGCCAGCGCTGAGCCTCTCCTCCCCTCCCCTCTCCTCTCTTCTCCTCCCCTCTTCTCCCCTCCCCTCCTCCCCTTCTCTTCGCTCCTCCCCTCCCGTTCCTTCCTCTTCCCCTCTTCCTTTGTCGCCCTGGGAGGACAGATCCTTTTCTCCAGACATGTCATTCTCCTTTTCTGGGAATGGGAAACTGGGGGTGGTGTCACTCTCTCCTCAACTTTGGACTCTGGAGGGGACTAAGGGCTGCTTGTCCCAGGAGAGGAAGGGGAAAGGCACACTGCTTCACTTTTCTTTCTTTCTTTCTTTCTTTTTTTTGAATGCTGAGCTGCCAGGCAGGATCCCAGTCACCCTTGGGATGCAGGGGTCTGGGTGTGTGTGGGTCACCGGTGAGTGTAAAATGACATTTAGCCTTCAGCACGCCTTGTGGGTGTGGCTAGCTTAGGCTCCCTGAGGAGCCTAAGAGGTTTGAGTATTTGGGGAAGGGAAATGTTTTAATTCTGTTTTTGTTCCAAACTGGAATCCCTAGGGGTCAGATTTAAATGTTCAGAAAAGCTCTGTGTGATCTGTTTGGGGTCTATGCCAGTCTCTGACGCTCCCAGTTCCTTGAGCCTGCCTTCTGTGGTTCTCAAGAATGTATATGGGTTGTGGTCTCAGCAATTTTTCTTCCTCTTTCCCACTGTACCTCAAACTACTGTTGCTTGCATTTAGCAAAGGGTCTTCCAGTTCCAGAGGCCATCATCTAGGCTTACAGTCAGGGCTGGCTTCATGAACCCTCTTCAGAAGAGAGAATATTCAAGAAAGTTGAGCCAGAGTTCAGCTCCAGCAATAACTAAATTGTGTTCTTGACCAAGTTTCCCAAGCCTCACACAAAAATCTCATTTCCCCCTACCTCCAGCCTTTGTTTCCTCTTCCAGGGCCTTCAAGACCATCAGAGCCACCAAATGGTTGCAGGACTGAATGAGTGCCTTCCTAGTACTAGGTACTACCTCAGCAGGGCTGAATCACAGTAATTCTTAGATAAGGAAACATAAAACAAAGACACAGCAAAGGTACAGAATGAGTCATTTTAAATAATTATAATAGTCATAAAGAACATCAGCAGCCAGTCCTGATTTCTCACAAGAAGTTCTGGGCTTCCCAAACAGAGAAGCCCGCCCAGCTTGTTTCAGTTCTCTTTTGGATTCATTTCTTGCCTCTCCAGGGCTCTTAAAAGACTGAGGAATGTGTGAGATGTTCCATCCAGCTTCTATAGTCACCACTGCACTGATTGATCTTAGCCTGCTTATCACAAACTTGTGATGTGGAAAACCTAGGGTTTTTTGTTCAGAGAGCTAGAAAATAAAGGTTTAGAAGACCGATGAGACTTTATTTTCTTGTTGAAGGACTCTTACTTTTTCTTTTCTTCTATCCTAGAGTAGGTAGGATAGGTAAAAGAAATTTCAGTTAGTTTTATATTTAGCTGTAGTTGACAGCCTACTGAAAGGGAAGGTTACAAGAATGGTGTAAAAAGTGGGGTTTTAGCTGAGTGAGGTGGCACAGGCCTATAGTAGTACCAGCTACGGTGGGAGGATCACTTGCACCCAGGGGTTCAAGGCCAGCCTAGGTAACATAATGAGATCCCTGTCTCTGAAAAGTTTTTTTTTTTTTTGAAGTAGAATTTTGCATTGTATGAAAAGTTTTTTTGAAAAAGGAGAGGCCAGGTATGGTGGCTAACGCCTATGATCCTAGCACTCTGGGACCCCACGGCCAGAAGATCATTTGAGGTCAGCAGTTGGAGACCAGCTTGAACAAGAGTGAGACCCCGTCTCAACAAAAAAATTAGCCGGGCGTGGTGGCATGTGCCTGTAGTCCCAGCTATTGGGGAGGCTGAGGCAAGAGGATCGCTTGAGCCCAGGAGTTTGAGATTGCAGTGAGCCACGATGATGCTATGATGATGCTACAGCACTCTAGCTCTGGCAACAGAGTCAGATTCTGTCTCAAAAAAAAAAAAAAAAAAAAATACCGAGCAAGAGCAAGATCCTGTCTCTACTAAAAATAGAAATTAATTGGACAACTAAAATTATATAGAAAAAATTAGCCGGATGCTGGTGCGCATGCCTGTAGTCCCAGCTACTTGGGAGGCTGAAGCAGAAGGATCCCTTGAGCCCAGGAGTTTGATATTGCTGTGAGCTAGGCTGATGCCACGGTACTGTAGCTAGGGCAACAGAGTGAGACTCTGTCTCAAAAAAAAAAAAAAAAAAAAAAAGAGGCCGGGCGTGGTGGCTCACGCCTGTAATCCTAGCACTTTGGGAGGCTGAGGCGGGCGGATTGCTCAAGGTCAGGAGTTCAAAACCAGCCTGAGTGAGACCCAGTCTCTACCAAAAATAGAAATAAATTAATTGACCAACTAAAAATATATATACAAAAAATTAGCCAGGCATGGTGGCGCATGCCTGTAGTCCCAGCTACTCGGGAGGGCTGAGGCAGTAGGATTGCTGAGCCCCGGAGATTGAGGTTGCTGTGAGCCAGGCTGACGCCATGGCACTCACTCTAGCCTGGGCAACAAAGTGAGGACTCTGTCTCAAAAAAAAAAAGGAAGAAGGAAGGAAGGAAGAGAAGGAGGGAGGCGAGGCAGAGGAGGAGGGAGGGAGAAGGAAGGAAGGAAGAAAGAAGGACAGACAGGAAGGAAGGAAGGAAGGAAGGAAGGAAGGAAGGAAGCAAGGAACTATATACCTTACATACCAGGCAGGCTGCTGACGACATACAAAGTGAAAAGGTACTAAGTACAGTGGTGCACATGCTTGTAGTCCAGTTATTTTGGAGGCTGAGGCGGGAGGATTGCTGGAGCCCAGGTGTTCACATCCAGAGTGGGCAACACAGTGAGATCCTGTCTTTTTTTCTTTTTCTTTTGAGACAGAGTCTCACTTGTTGCCCAGCTAGAGTGAGTGCCGGGTGTCAGACTCAGCTCACAAGCAACCTCCAACTCCTGGGCTCAAGCAATCTACTCGCCTTCAGCTGTCGCTGAGTAGCTGGGACTACAGCATGTGCCACCATGCCCAGCTAATTTTTTCTATATATTTTTAGTTGGCCAATTAATTTCTTTTCTATTTATAGTAGAGACGGGGTCTCGTTCTTGCTCGGGCTGGTTTTGAACTCCTGACCTCAAGCAAACCACCTGCTTTGGCCTCCCACAGTGCTAGGATTACAGGCATGAGCCAGCACACCCTGCCTGTCTTTTTTTTTAAGTAGGGATGGGGTTTCACTCTGGCTCAGGCTGGTGAGCTCCTGTCTTTTAAGAAAAAATAAATTAAAAAAAAAAACAAAAACAAAAAAAACAAAGTGAAAAGGTATCATCCCTGTCCCTAAGGTGCTTAGTAAGTAGTCTAACTAGGGGAGACCAGATAAAGACTGCTAATGGAGGTACATAAAAGGAGCATAGTGATCAGAGTATTCAATACCTGGGGGTGGGGCAAGAAAGACTTCATAGAAGTCAATTCTTATCAAAGATAAAAGTTTGGTAACCCAGAAGGAGGGCAAATTGAGCAAACTGTAATTTCGAAGTTCTGGACATTGGAGACCCAAGAATGCATGGCTTTTGGGGGACACGTCAACAAAGAGCAAAGTGAAGGGTAAGAGAAGGCAGTGGATAGTAATGGTTGATGAGCCTGAAAAAGCACAGGGCAGATCACTAAGAGCCTTGAATGCCATGTAGGAACGTTGACTTAGTACATGTGAGGCTTACATCACAGCCAGGCACAATTTGTGTTCATAGGAGTGGTTTCAAAGTGAAACAACCATCATATGATCACATTGTTTTTCACAGTCATAAGGAGTTATTTAAGTGCTCTCACAAGTGCTTGTGTAGATAAAACACTTACAGGCGTGAGCCACTGCACTCGGCCTTCATTTTTCTTTTAAGTCTAAAAAAAATTTGTTCATGTTTTCTCAAGAGGAATCAGACAAGATGGATCGTGTCGTGTCGTTTGTTCATTTGTTCTCAAGAATTGTCAATAAACTGGTATATATCTAGGATATTCCTCACTGGCCAGGTGCTGAATTCTCTCTTGTTCTGGAGAAGCAAAAAGAGAGGATAGTGAGGCCAGCCACGGTGGCTCACACCTGTAATCCTAGCACTCTGGGAGGCCGAGGCCAGCGGATTGCTCAAGGTCAGGAGTTCAAAACCAGCCTGAGCAAGAGCGAGACCCCGTCTCTACTATAAATACAAGAAATTAATTGGCCAACTGATATGTATATAAAAATTAGCCGGCATGGTGGCGCATGCCTGTAGTCCCAGCTACTCGGGAGGCTGAGGCAGAAGGATCGGCCGAGCCAAGGAGTTTGAGGTTGCTGCTGTGAGCTAGGCTGCACGCCACGCACTTCACCTCGCCTGGACAACAAGCAAGCTCCTGTCCAAAAAAAAACAACCAATAACAAAACCAAAAACCTTGCCTGAGCAAACGGAGGAGACCCTTCGTCTACTAAAAAAATAGAAAAGAATTATATTGGAAACTAAATTATAATAGAAAAAATTAGCTGGGCATGGTGGGTGCATGCCTGTAGTCCCAGCTACTTGGGAGGCTAAGCAGCAGGATCGCTTGAGCCCAAGGAGTTTGAGGTTGCTGTGAGCTAGGCTGACGCCATGGCACTCACTCTAGCCTGGGCAACAAAGTGAGACTCTGTCTCAAAAAAAAAAAAAAAAAAAGGATAGTGAAAAAGATGATGGCTATTGAATTTCTGAGTCCAAACCTAGGCATCTTTGTACCTGGGATAAAATCAAATCTTAGTTCCTACTTCAGGCACAAACTAGCTTAGAACCATGGGGAAAAAAACACAGGCTTTGGAACTAAACAGTCATAATTTAAGTGTCTGAGCCTCAGTTTTCTCATCTGTAAAAGGGGACAGCAATCTCTTAAATTGGCAGAAAGAATTATATTAGACAATATATGTGAAATATTTAAACTACAGCTCCACGGGATCAGCTCCTCTCCCTCCCTACCCCCAGCAAGTTTAGGTGTGGTCTATTACTGAATACACTAAACAGCTGTTAGAATCTCCAGAGCTTGGCTTACAAAGATGAGTAATGCAGTTTCTTCTCTCCAGGAAATTTCTTTCCTTCTGGAAGTAGTTTCTTATCTACAGTTTCTTCCCTTAGTGTTTCTTAAACTAGGTTTAGGAACTAATCATTTGAAAGAGCTACTTAAAAATGCAGGCTGGGCATGGTGGCTCAAATCTGTAATCCTAGTCTTTAACCCTAGCACTTTGGGAGGCTAAGGTGAGAGGATCACTTGAGGCCTGGAGTTCCAGAACAGTCTGGGAAACATAGTGAGACCCCATCTCTACAAAAAAAAACAAAAAACAAAAAAACAGAAAGAATAATTAGCTGGGTGTGTTGGTGCATGGATGTAGGTATCCTCCCCTCCCCCCAAGCCCCCAGCAAAATGCATATTCTTAAGCCCCCACCAGATTTATTTTATTTTATATTGTTTTTTGAAACAGAGTCTCACTTTGTTGCCCGGGCTAGAGTGAGTGCCATGGCGTCAGCCTAGCTCACTGCAACCTCAAACTCCTGGGCTCAAGTAATCCTTCTGCTTCAGCCTCCCAAGTAGCTTGAACTACAGGCATGTGCCACCATGCCCGGCTAATTTTTCCTATATATATTAGTTGTCCAATTAATTTCTTTTTATTTATAGTAGAGATGGGTCTCGTGGTGGGGGGGGTCTCACTCTTGCTCAGGCTGGTTTTGAATTCCTGACCTTGAGCAATCCACCCGCCTGGCCTCCCAGAGTGCTAGGATTACAGGTGTGAGCCACCACGCCCGGGGCCAACCCTCACCAGGTTTATAAGGTCTGGGGTGGGAGTATAGGAAACTGCCTTTTTAAAAAATCTCCCCAGGTCAGGTGAGGTGAGTCATGCCTATAATCCTATCACTCTGGGAGGTCAAGGGGAGAGGATTGCTTGAGCTCAGGAATTTTCAACCAGCTACAGCAAGAGCAAGACTCTGTCTCTACTAAAAACAGAAAACTTTTTCCTGTGAACACATTTGGGGCAAACAAACAAAAAACCACACACAGGGCCGGTCGCGGTGGCTCATGCCTATAATCCTAGCACTCTGGGAGGCCGAGGCGGGCGGATTGCTCGAGATCAGGAGTTTGAAACCAGCCTGAGCAAGAGTAAGACCCTGTCTCTACTATAAATAGAAAGAAATTCATTGGCCAACTGATATATATATATAAAAAATTAGCTGGGTATGGTGGCACATGCCAGTAGTCCCAGCTATTCAGGAGGCTTAGACAGTAGGATTGCATGAGCCCAGGAGTTCGAGGTTGCTGTGAGCTAGGCTGAGGAAGACTCTGTATCAAAAACAAACAAACAAAAACACACACACACACACACACACAAAAAAAAAATAGAATACTTAGTCGGGGGTTGTGGCATGCGCCTCTAGTCACAGCTACTCAGGAGGCTGAGGCAGGAGGATCCCTTGAGCCCAGGAGTTGGAGGCTACAGTGAGCTATGATGATGCCATTTCTGCATTCTACTCATGGTGACAGAGTGAGACTCCATCTCAACAAAGAAAAAAGGAAATTGAACTTCTTCCTCATTCCCCCCTTTCACATAAAAAAATAAAAGATAAAACAGCAACCCAGAGGATTCTGCTAGAGACTATCTGACATAAAGCTTTGAGAAACCTTGATATAGGCAGAGATATAATTAACTATAATGTAATTTGATATAGCTGGGTTTTAATATTTTATATTTAATAATAAAGGTATACAAGAGGATAATGCCATTTGAGCTGTCCTAGGAGTAGAGACAGAATTTTTTTCAGGAGCTAGAAGGTAAGAATAAAAAAGCATTTTTAAAAACAAAACAAATTAAAATTAAGCTCAATTATGTAAATGGTTATACAAGACATCGTATTATTATTATTTTATTTTATTTTGAGACAGAGTCTCGCTTTGTTGCCCAGGCTAGAGTGAGTGCCATGGCGTCAGCCTAGCTCATAGCAACCTCAAACTCCTGGACTCAAGCAATCCTGCTTGCCTCAGCCTCCCAAGTAGCTGGGACTACAGGCATGCACCACCATGCTTGGCTAATTTTTTCTAAATATATTTGTTGGCCAATGAATTTCTTTCTATTTATAGTAGAGACGGGGTCTCACTCTTGCTCAGGCTGGTTTTAAACTCCTGACCTCGAGCAATCCGCCTGCCTCGGGCTCCCAGAGTACTAGGATTACAGGCGTGAGCCACTGTGCCTGGCCTATTATTTTTAAACAGGGTTGTCACCCAGGCTAGAGTACAGTGGCTGGATCATAGTGTTAGAAAGGCATAGTTCACCACAACCTCAAAATCCTCTGCTCAATCAATCCTTCTGCCTTAGCCTCCTGAGATCCCACATTGGCAGGATCGTTGAGTGATGATTCTGCCACTGCAGTCCAGCCTGGGCGAAGGAGTGTGATCCTGTCTCAAAAACGAAAAGAGTTTACAGAAAACTTTTTGTGGGACTATTCTGGGTTGGAATCTAACCCTACAAACTCATTAGTTTTGTGACCTAGGTCAAGCTACTTAATGTCCCAGCCTAAATTTTCTCACTTATACTAATCTCCCTCTCTCTTTTTTGAGTCAGAGTTTTGCTGTTACCTGGGCTAGAGTGGCGTGGTGTCAGCAACCTCACAGCAACCTCAAACTCCTAGCCTTAAAGCAATCCTTCTTCTTCAGCCTATGGAGTAGTTGGGACTACAGGCATGCGCTAGCATGCCCGGCTAATTTTTTCTATATATTTTTAGTTGTTTAGCTAGTTTCTTAATATTTTTAGTTGAGATGGGGTGTGGGGGGGGGTGTCTCACTCTTGCTCAGGCTGGTCTTGAACTCCTGACCTTGAGTGATCCTCCCACCTCTGCTTCCCAGAGTGCTAGGATTACAGGCCTGAGCCACTGCGCCTGGCACCTGGCCTAATTTACACTAGTATCTGTTAACACTTAAAAATAATTTTCTTACAAGGATGACATAGGGAATGTCACAGGCTTACCCAACATAGCCACCTAACACAATAGGCCGTCAACAACCATTTCACTTTTTCCAAGTCCTGCCCAAAGCAGCAGAGGCCTCAGTTCTTACCTTCAAAGGGCTTAAAATCTTTTAAGAGTATCCAGATTTTAAAAGAACATATAATGAAGTGCTGAATAATGTGCTAATAAAGTGACCACATATACAAGACACAAGTGCTAAAGAGAATGCCTTATCCTGTCACTAACAAGCCATCAAAGCCACCTACAACAAAATAAGGATAAAGGTGGAGGCCAGAAATTCAGATGCCTGGGGTAGTTTTAACCCTCGTGATTCCAAAAAGCAGGAACTCAGCTATATTGCTTTATGTGTAGGCAATAGGCAATATTCATTATTAAAGGGGAAAAAGGAAGTGATTTATTGGATCTTGACTCTGGGAGGCTCTCCAATGCACCTTAGCTCCAAAGAGAAACAAACGCTTGAAATATTAACCGGCCAGTAGTTAGATGGTTAGCACCTTTGTCTGGGGGAACTTAGTAAGATGGCGTTTGCTGGCATTTCACAAAGACTGCATATCAGTCAGCTCAGTATTAACTGATTTTTTGAGTCGTCATATCTTCTCCCGCCGGCACTCAAAGGGCTTACACCCACACTGAGAGGCATCCGCCCGTCCGCCCACCCGTTGGGCGGGGCGGTGAGGATTGAGAGGCACTTTATAAGGGCGGTTAAATGGAAGATTCAAATGAGCCCCGGTGGTGAAGCAGAACTGCGCACTGAATGCCACGGCGCTGACACTTGTTGAGCTGCAGGGATCTGCTGAAGCGTATCACCTAATCTCTGTAAAGACGTCCCCCAAGGGGGGCCAATATGGCGACGAACTGCTCTTGGCACAGCCCTCTACCCTCCCTCGTGATGGGCGGCTAAGGTAACGCCTATTGGTCAATTTGGAGGCGGTGCTGGGCTTAATTCCTCCTCTTATTGGGCTAAATAACTGATGGAGACGCCAATTTTCCTCTGCCCACTCTAAGTTCCCGCCCTCAGAGTGTATTCGGCGTTTAATTGGCCATTAGTCCACATCAATATGTGTCCTTTCCTGTCTATTTTCGGTGTTAATCCAATCATATCTTTTCTGGCTGCCCGCCTGATTTCTGATTGGTTTCATCAGCTTTATCCTATCCCATTCCCGCCTACTTCTTACCTTTCCTCCCATTAGGATTTTGCCTAGGCATGTCCAGGATCCTGGTTGGTCGTTGTTCTGTCATTCCTATAAAAGCTCTCCCTATCCCTACTGCTCAGGGAGCCCGCCTGGCGGTTAACTGGTTTCTTTGCAAGCCTATCATCTATAGTTCCCGCCCATCTTCACTTCCTGCATCTTTCATTGGTTTTTAAATCTGAGAAGGCGGCCTTTTTGGGCGGACACCACGCACGCAACCTTGTCTTACACGCCTTAGAGAGCAAGCTAGCCTTGCCATTGGATAATCTGACCGTCTTTCTTCCGCAAGTCCCTCCTTTCCCCCTCCCTTATTGGGCGGGGCAGCAGTAAAGGGGCGGAGCCTAGGTCGGGCTTGTGGCGCGCTGCTCCCTCCTCCTTACCCCCCCCTCCCTGTCCGGTCCGGGTTAGCTTGCCTCGTCAGCGTCCGCGTTTTTCCCGGCCCCCCCCAACCCCCCCGGACAGGACCCCCTTGAGCTCGTCCCTCAGCTGCCACCATGAGCGGTAAGGATGAGTCCACTCCACGCTTAGGGGTGGGAGGGGAGTGAGGGGGCGCGCGCGAGGGCCGACCGGGCGGTCCCCGCCGTGAGGGGGGGCGGGCGGGAGGCGGCGGCGGCGGCCTTGGTCCCGCCCGGGGCGGAGGGAAGGGAGGGAGAAGGGGCAGTGGCGGGGCCTCCGAGGAAGAGGGGGATGGGCCGCCCGCCCCGGGGGAGGGGGCAGCGTGGCCTCGCCCGCCCCCTGCCCGCCCCGGCCACGGGGGACGGGCCTTACCCCCCACTATTCGGCCGCCAGCCTGAGGCTCCTCCCGTCAGGGGCTGGAGCCGCGGGGGCGGCCCGAGCACTGGAGGCCCCGCCCGGGCCAACCGCCTCCCTCGTCCGCCCTCTGGCCGCCGCCTGCTCCTAAGCCCTCCTCCCCCACTTTCTGTAGATTTCCCCTCCCCCCCACCGTCCCGCCCTTTCCACGCCCCTCACCCCGAAACCGCCCTTTCCCTCTAGGGCCCGCCCTCTCTCCGCCCCGAAACCTCCAGATTTCTGACGCCTAGACCCCTTTAGCCCCTTGCCAGTATCCACAAATGTTTCCCCACTCACACTTTTTATCTCTTCTTTCCCCCTTCCCCCCCTTTCATTTTGTTATTTTTTACACTTGTATTTTTCTTTCTTCATCTCTTTTAACTCTAATTTTATTTAGCAAGCTTTCCATCCATTCCCATGTTGTTTCTTGCTTTACCTATCCTTTTTTCCCCAAGGATACTTTTTCTGTTTTCGAAACTCTTTCCACCTGCCTACCATCCTTCATATTTCCTATCCCCAAAACACTTTTTGAATGTTTTCTGAGTCTAATTTTGTGCAAGGGAGAATTGAGGCCCTGCATGCCCTACAGTTACCCCCTCCTCTAATCCATTTTCTTTACACTGGCGCCTTCCACCTTTTAGTCATTGCTGTTTCATGATATCATCCTTTTGCCCTTCCTCACTTTACCTTTTTCTTCCTCCAGCTTTAAGTTGTTTATCTTTTAATTGTTTTTAGACCCAGATCACTCCATAGATGAAATGACAGCTGTGGTGAAGATTGAAAAAGGAGTTGGTGGCAATAATGGTGGCAGTGGTAATGGTGGTGGTGCCTTTTCACAGGCTCGAAGCAGCAGCACAGGCAGTAGCAGCAGCAGTGGAGGAGGAGGAGGAGGGCAGGTAAGTGATAATTAGAGACAGAGTGGGGAAGGTGTTGAGAGGATGTAAATATTCTTAGTAAATTACCTTACTCTTCATAGAAAGCTTTTTAGGGAAGAACTAAAGCATTTTGTAGATAGGGAAGTAAGCACAGAGAGACAAGTGACTTGGAGATCCCCAAAGATGGAAGTTTCAACAATACATATAGGTCAGCTCTTTATTTCTGGTTTTTGCTCTTTGCACTGTGTTGCTGTTTATTTGTTGCATACTGCCCCCTAGGTCGCAGTTGGGTGTTATTAACTCCTTTCCTCTCCCTTATTTTCTGGCCAGGAATCCCAGCCATCCCCTTTGGCTCTGCTGGCAGCAACTTGCAGCAGAATTGAGTCACCCAATGAGAACAGCAACAACTCCCAGGGCCCAAGTCAGTCAGGGGGTACAGGTGAGCTTGACCTCACAGCCACACAACTTTCACAGGGTGCCAATGGCTGGCAGATCATCTCTTCCTCCTCTGGGGCTACCCCTACCTCAAAGGAACAGAGTGGCAGCAATACCAGTGGCAGCAATGGCAGTGAGTCTTCCAAGAATCGCACAGTCTCTGGTGGGCAGTATGTTGTGGCTGCCACGCCCAACTTACAGAACCAGCAAGTTCTGACAGGATTACCTGGAGTGATGCCTAACATTCAGTATCAAGTAATCCCACAGTTCCAGACTGTTGATGGGCAACAGCTGCAATTTGCTGCCACTGGAGCCCAAGTGCAACAGGATGGTTCTGGTCAAATACAGATTATACCAGGTGCAAACCAACAGATCATCACAAATCGGGGAAGTGGAGGCAATATCATTGCTGCTATGCCAAACCTACTGCAGCAGGCTGTCCCCCTCCAAGGCTTGGCTAATAATGTGCTCTCAGGACAGACTCAGTATGTGACCAATGTACCAGTGGCCCTAAATGGGAACATCACTTTGCTACCTGTCAATAGCGTTTCTGCAGCTACTTTGACTCCCAGCTCTCAGGCAGTTACGATCAGCAGCTCTGGGTCCCAGGAGAGTGGATCACAGCCCGTCACCTCAGGGACTGCCATCAGTTCTGCCAGCTTGGTGTCATCGCAAGCGGGTTCCAGCTCCTTTTTCACCAATGCCAATAGCTACTCAACGACTACTACCACCAGCAACATGGGGATTATGAACTTTACCACCAGCGGATCATCAGGGACCAACTCTCAAGGGCAGACACCCCAGAGGGTCAGTGGGCTACAGGGGTCTGATGCTCTGAACATCCAGCAGAACCAGACATCTGGAGGCTCACTGCAAGCAAGTCAGCCGAAAGAGGGAGAGCAAAACCAGCAGACACAGCAACAACAAATTCTTATCCAGCCTCAGCTAGTTCAAGGGGGACAGGCCCTTCAGGCCCTCCAAGCAGCACCATTGTCAGGGCAGACCTTTACAACTCAAGCTATCTCCCAGGAAACCCTCCAGAACCTCCAGCTTCAGGCTGTTCCAAACTCTGGCCCCATCATCATCCGGACACCAACAGTGGGACCTAATGGACAGGTCAGTTGGCAGACTCTTCAGCTGCAGAACCTCCAAGTTCAGAACCCACAGGCCCAGACAATCACCTTAGCCCCAATGCAGGGTGTTTCCTTGGGGCAGACCAGCAGCAGCAACACCACTCTTACACCCATTGCCTCAGCTGCCTCCATTCCTGCCGGCACAGTCACTGTGAATGCTGCTCAACTTTCCTCCATGCCTGGCCTCCAGACCATTAACCTCAGTGCATTGGGTACTTCAGGAATCCAGGTGCACCAGCTTCCAGGCCTGCCGTTGGCTATAGCAAATGCCCCAGGTAAGTCTTTCCAGTCTTTCCAGTCTTTTACATAGGAACTAACTCTAGCATCTTAGCTGCAACTGTTGAGTCTAAAGAAGGGAATAGAGAGAGCCTTTTGTAATAAAACTTTCTTGAGGGCTAGTTATTTAGGCAAGTCAGAAATAGCAGTGATACTGTATAAGTCATTTAGAACTGAATTAAAGGAAACTTTTTTTCAGTTAATTTGATGAGAAAGGAGCATTTCTGGGTAACATGGGGGGGGAATCTGTGTACTTCCAGGTGTTTTTGGTGCTACAGAGGAAGGGTTGGCAAATTTTTTCTGTCTTTACAGGTACTAGATATTTTAGTCTTGTGGGCCATATGGGGGTATGTTTTTTTATATGTTATTTTACACCCTTTTAAAGTGTAAAACTGTTCTTAGTTCTAGGGCTTTTGTCCTGTGGGTCAGTTCCTCTATAGAATAAAAATTGATTATGAACATGATCTATTTGTAGAACAGTTTTTTCTTATGAACAGCACCTCCTAATTGAGGGAAAAGTGATCTTACGGATTCCAGAATGATTTTCCAACAAAGTAAATTCACTGGTTAATCTTTAGTTAACCAGAATATCTCACACGGTACAATGTGGTCAATAAGGGTTTCATTTTTTTTTTTAACTTCTGGTTACCTTAATTTTTTAATTTTTTTTTTTTTTTTGAGACAGTTTCCCTCTGTTGCTCAGGCTAGAGTGCCATGGCATCAGCCTAGCTCACAGCAAGCTCAAACTCCTGGGCTCAAGCAATACTCCCACCTCGGCCTCCCAGAATGCTAGTATTATAGGCGTGAGCCACCATGCCCAGCTAATTTTTTCTATATATTTTTAGTTGGTCAGTTAGATTCTTTCTGTTTTTAGTAGAGACGGGGTCTCGCTCTTGCTCAGGCTGGTTTCAAACTCCTGACCTTGAGCCATCCTACCGCCTCGGCCTCCCAGAGTGCTAGGATTACAAGCGTGAGCCCGGCCACTGCCACGTTCATAGTCTTAACAAAAAAAAAAGGAATAACAAGAGCATTGAAGGGAAAGTGAATCATGGAAGAGTTTTGTTGGAATTGCATATTGAATCTGTTAACCACAATATTCAGTCTTTTATTTTGAACTACATTTCACTATTGGTTAATTTGAAATTTAAAAGATATTCATAAAATAAAGATGAAAGTCTGTTTAGAATTTACAATTTTAAATTCCATTGTATGGAGATATTCTTTTTTTTTTTTTTTTTTTTTTTTGAGACAGAGTCTCCCTTTGTTGCTCAGGCTAGAGTGAGTGCCATCGAGTCAGCCTAGCTCACAGCAACCTCAGTCTCCTGGGCTCAAGCAATCCTGCTGCCTCAGCCTCCTGAGTAGCTGGGACTACAGGCATGCGCCACCATGCCCAGCTAATTTTTTTCTATATATATTAGTTGGCCAATTAATTTATTTTCTATTTATAGTAGAGACGGGGTCTCACTCTTGCTCAGGCTGGTTTCGAACTCCGGATCTCGAGCAATCTGTCTGCCTCGGCCTCCCAGAGTGCTAGAATTACGGGCAGGTGGGCGTGAGCCACCGCCCTTGCCTGATTTTCTAGATGAGGAAATTGAGGTACAGAGAAGCACTTAAGTGATGGGACAACAGAACTGAGGCTAGTTCTAAAGTGTAACCTGTTAGTTTTAACTCAGGAGTTGAGATATTCTTTAATTGTTAAAAATGTTTTAGAGCTGGGCGTGGTGGCTCATGCCTGTAATCCTAGCTCTCTGGGAGGTCGAGGCGGGTGGATCGTTTGAGCTCAGGGGTTCGAAACCAACCTGA